GAATCAAAATTTATAATAGTCTTCCAAGCAAAATAAAACAGTTATCCAGAAACAAAAATCGATTCAAGAAAGCACTATTACAATTTCTCCATTTACATTCATTTTATGGTACTGATGAATTTTTGATTACAGGGTTAAAAAGATTGATAATTGATTTCATTGGGATTATATACATAAGTAATGAAAAGTTGAATTACAATTTTTATAATTTTAAAATTATGTTTACATAAATATTTTAACACATATTATATTTTTTGTAATTATTATATTTAATTGTTATATTGGACTGTTGTCTATATCCTGAGTCTTATGACCTTGTAAAGGATTTTTAACATGTAAATAAATGATAATGATAATGATAAATGATAATGCCTCAAGGAGAGGTTTCTGAGCCAAATTACAAGGAAGTTTCCCGCCCAACAATAGTCTTTAACGCCTCTGGTAGATGGGGGAAGCATCTAGATACCGCTGAGCCAGTAGAGGCCGAACTCGCTGGCTGAGTCGGGACTGATGGCACACACCAGTATCAGTAGGGTATAGAGACTGGTAGAATATCACAAGGGGACATACAATAGACCACTGGTCACGGTGCATGGGGAAACCCACCCCCTCCAATAATAATAATAATTATCGAGACTGAATTAAGAGTATTACAGTAGACTAGTTTGTTGATGCACAGATTATACAGTTTCAGGATTAATCACAGAAATTTCAGAATCCCTTGTTCATTGATTATAGTTTCCCACAACAATTTAAGTACTGCCCATTACAGATGTTTCAGAGATACTTTAAAAAAAAATTACAGTACGTCTTACCCTGTTCAACATCGAATTTTATTATCTAATGGCTTTTTTTCTTCTTTTCTTACTGTTTATTAACCAATATCATAACCAACAGGCTCTACAACCTTAGTATTTGTTGTCATTTTCAGAATTAAATGCAGTATGGAAAATGGGTATATCCATATTTTTTCAATTATCTGTTGTTCTTAATTGGCTAACCCACTCCCCCCTTACCAGTCTTTTTCTAAGCAAGTTGAACTTTACTGTGGATGCTGAAGCAATTTATACCATACAGTGATTTGGTTCCTCATATCCACAGAATTCCTATCCATTTTTTTAATGTTGACATGAATTATCCAAACAGAAGCCAGGCAGCTGGTTATGGGGGCTTCTAATAAATCTCAACCACATACAAGGTGGTATCGGAAAGTTCCCGGACTGTTACTTTTGTAACTGCCTTAGTGAAAGAAGAGGAGAGGGGAGGCCAAGGTCACACTTCCACAAACCTATTGCATCAGTCTGCCATGTAACACTGCACTATGAACACGCATTGTTTTTATGTGAGTGCATTTTAGACTTCATGTTTCATTTTGTCTGCAAAGGATGGCAAAATTGAGCAAAGTGTCTGCAGCAAGTTTTGCGTGATGCTTGGTAAATCCACTACTGAAACCCTTTAAATTCATCATGAGGCTTTTGGGAACATTCTTTAAGCTGGACAGTGGTTTTTGAATGGCATTCACATCTCGAGGCTAGTCGAGTGTCAGTTGAAGATGACAAACGTTCGGGGCCACCAAGTACCAGCAAAATCCCACCACTGGAATCAGTTATGGAATTTGTAAGGATATCTTATCAGAAAATTTGAACAAACAACACATTGCTCCTTCACAATGACAATGCCCACCCACACGTCACTGAAAACCACAAAGCTTGTGACTAACAACATGATTATCATTCCCCATCCTCCCTACTCACCAGACTTAGCCCCTTGTGACTTTGCTTTGTTTCCCAAATTGCAAATGAAACATTAGGGACGACGTTTTGAAACAGTGTCTGACATCCAAAGGGAATTGTAAGCTGTACTCAACAGCATTAAGGAAAATGACTTCCACGGTTCTTTCGACGCGTGGAAAAAACGAAGGGATTGTTGTATACTTTCCCAAGGAGATTATTTTGAAGGAGATGGCAACCAAAATTGAATAAGTTTAGCCAGCATTTCGTTTTTGACCTAGTCTGGGAACTCTCTGATAGCACCTCATAGTTTGTTGATGAAGCTGATAACACCTGTATCACTTGTCCCTGTCACAAAGTCTGTGCTTTTGATCTGATGAACGTGAGTGGAATGCCGCTCACTGATGCCAGCACGCTGGATCTTGTGCTGAGAACCAATGGTATTGGTGTCTCTTTGCAAGGCTTCACTTCAAACTGTGACAGAATATGAACCAGTCCAGTCTTCACTGACATAAGTCCAAACCTTAGACCTAAAACACAAAGAAAACATGTCACAAAATATGGATAACAATTGGAAACTTTCTATCACAATTATTTAAAAAATTAACAGATTCTGCTTTTAAGTAATTTATGTGTGCAATTGATACAGTATGATGGCTGCCTGAAAGGTAGAGTTTAATTTTGATTTTAGGATGATAATTGGTGGGTCACTGTTGCTGGATGAATATAAATTTGGTGTGGTAGGAGATTATGATCAATTCTACAAAATGTGTTTCTGTTTTGTTTGTGCCTGAAAGAAGAAACTGAAATCAGCCTTTACTTTGCCAGACATCTTAGGTTCTATATGTTTATGTATTATAAAAGCTTATGCCTTTGTAATCTCTATGGTACCAGAAATCTGATATTGTAATCATCATAAAAATAGATGAATCAAGACATCACCAATGCAGTTGTGGGGTCCATCCCCAAAGGGTAGGTAGGTGTATGGTTTCTGCAGCCTCTTGTTTTCCTCAGTGAACCGTTCCGGGTCATATAACTCAGGATCAGGGTAATACTCAGGATCCCTGTGTAGCCCCAGCAGTGCAATATACACAGGTGTGTTCTTCTCTATGATTAGGTTTCTCTCTGGCACCTTGTAGTCCTGAAGGCAAATGCGGTCCAATAGGGGGAGTGGTGGGTACTTTCGAAGAGTCTCTGTGGACATGTGTTTATACTTAAAATATGAAGAAGCAAGCTCAAAATAAGACAATAGTGAAGAGAAAAATAAAAGAACTGGACAAGGGAAAAAAATATAAAGAAAGAGGGGAGAACAAATGTTATTGAAGAGTGATTATTCCATATTTATATGACATAAATATCCCTGTTGAGGAGATAACAGTTTCTGCAGAAAGACTGTCATCTTAATTAATGAAAATTATAGTTCTAAACTGACTTATTTTCTGGCTTAATTACTAACACTCTCATAGCATTTTCATTTGCTTCTCTCAGTAGAAACAGGGGTACATGGTAGCACAGTTGGTTCAGGCACTATGCTACAAGCTGGAAAGTTGCTGGTTCAAATCCCAATGAGGTGGATTTTTTCAATTTGCCTAATCCTTCCAGGTGCACTATGGTCCTGGTGTCGACTCAGCCTCTAACAAAAATGAGGACCAAGAACCTTCCTGGGGGTAAAGGGCGGCTGGTGTGTAAGACTGACAAACTTACCGCCATCTATGTGCTGACTATCTAGAGAAAATATCAGAGCCCTGACGTCTCATAAACCTCTTGGCCTTCAGAGCCTGTTACAGGGTTAGCTTTACCTTTACCTTGGTAGAAACAACTGCACATAATAAGTGAAGATTTCAAAATTATCAGGGAGACACTAGTAACTGAAAACAGTTGCTGTATATAACACAGAATCCTACCTGAGACAACCATGCCAAGATACTTCATACCAAAAACATCTTCATATGTTGGTGTGCCATTACTCTTATCCATGATCTCAGCAATTTCTGCTCGAAGTCGCTTCTGAATGTGAGGTTGGAGGGCCAATTCATATAGAGTGAAGCTTAAGGTTGTTGCATTGGTTTCAAAGCCGGCTGTGAAAAACAATGCTGGCTGGGCGACGAGATTGTCTCCTTTGAATTCTACAAACATACCAGGGAATATATTTTCAAATTTTGTATGTCCATATTTCAGATCAAATAAAATGTTTTCAAGTTTCTTCCATCGTATGAGATAATATAAGAAATGTCTGGAAAATGTTATAATTCTAGAATAGAAAAGGAATTACATACAGTGCTCCTATGCTATGTTTAACAAATGACTTATTTCATGAGTTAAGAGGTGGACTAGCACAATTTCTCCAGCTCTTATCTCTAATTTCTCAGTGATTTGTTGATGATATCATTGGAAGAGTTACTCTATTTTTTTGTGTGTAGATATTTCTTGAAGTCCCATACATTCTGTTTAACATTTTTAAAAATAATAATGCCATTCAAAATTGAATGCAATATAAAAATACATTTGTATAATCATTTATTTATCTGCTAGCTTATTCATTTTAAATCAAAGATTTTTATCAGACAAGAACATTAGCCAACAAAATTCATAGAACTTAATTGTACATTTCTTTTTAATGTGGTGGCAATCTTGTTTCTTATACAGCTTACCAAATAGTGATGAGCTTTTCTCTTCATTTAGAACATTCTCATCTTCCTTCTCTTCACTATCAACGTGACCCTTGTTCTTCAGCTGTATCAGCAAGTCAAGGAAATCTTCACGAGTGATTCTGTTTTTTTCCCGATAACTAATCGTATCCCAGAAGACCTTTCGAAGGAACTTAGTTGTTTTCCTTGTGAAGAAGCTTCCATTTATAAATGACATAAGTGAAGGAACAAAGAAAATCCCTAAAACTTCCAGAGTGCGGTATCTTGTGAAATTAAATACCTTCCTCCCAAACTCTCGGAATTCTGCATTGGGATCTTTAAGCGAGTTGCTCTCAATTCCAAATGCACAACTTGAAATCACATCTGTTGCATACTTGGCTGTTGTTTCCTTTACTTCAACAGGGTCTTTCTCTCCGGAATGATCTAGTAGGTAGTCCACCAGTTGTCTAGCACAGACAGCAACCATAGGAAACATCTTCTTCATACGTCCAGATGTGAATGTGGGCGACAGTTTCACACGGAGATATTTCCATGGTTCACCATGCAGCATAAAGAGATTCTGGCTACCCAGGGTATCATTTTTTGATGTAGAAACATGGCGATCTGCGAATATATTGAAATCCTTCACCAGAACATGCTTGATGATGCTGGGGTCACGGATCACAATTGCAGGCCTGAAAAAATAGTTGTTTCAATAAGTAAATACTCGTACATCTACTTTAAAACATTCAATGTGAAATGCAGCTGGTATGGAAGCTAGAACTATTATGGTGCAACAATGAAGATATTCTACATATCTGAATTGGAAGGCACTTTTGATAGGCAGTACAATTTTGGCCAATAAAGGATTCTTATGCTCACTAAAAAGTAAAAATGATGTTACCACTAACCACTCACCTAAGATAGCACTTCGACCTGTGGTCTTAAAATAAGGGCTATAAAGATGGTTAAATAATAAATATTAGTTAGATGATGTACTAAAAATGCTGAATTGGCTGGATGACCAAGGGATCAGAATTCAAGTCCTGATAGGGTCAGGAATTTTCTCTTCTCCATGTCATCCAGACCGCCTCTGGGGCCCATCCAGCCTTCTATCCAATGCGTACCATGGGGCTCTTTTCCCAGGGGTAAAGCGACTGGGATGTGAAGCTGATCTCTCATTTCCAACTTGTGCCGAGATCAAGAAAACATGGATGTACACATCCACTCCCCTATATGCTTTCATGGCGTTGTACTTAATTAGTTAAGCACAGGAACAACTTTACTTTACTTTTATGCTTTACTAAAAACTGTAAAACTTTCTGTATTTATTATCTGCTACAGGAAAATAAAATGCAACAACTTTAGAAGTTTTTCAGTTCATAACAAAACACAATTTTGCAGCTACTGTTAATCATTTTCCAGCAGCCCTTCAATATTGTTGTCAGTTGTCCTCATCATCTCTAAATGATTCAAAACAAGACCATTTTAAGGAGTTTTTTGTTTTGGGAACAAGAAGGAGGCAGCTGGAAACAAATCAAACAGGAACAGTAGATGCACAAGTGTTGGAATTTAATTTTGGTCAAACACTGCTGTACTAAGAGTGCTCTGTTGGAAGGTATATTCTAATGACACATTGTCACAGAAATGAATGTGGGAGTCAATTAACATAAGGAGAAAGATAGCTGACTTTCCAACATCACCATAGAACCTGTCTGTGATGAGGGGACTTTTCTCGTGTAACCTGTGTTGGTTTTGTGGCTAATAGATGCGTTAATTGTCATTTAATATCAAAGGTGTTATATTTGCTTTCTCACACCCTGAGCATTGTAAATTGAGGAGGTAAGCATGAAGCTGTTGGTTCTCTAGATCAAGTTACAAATTTTCAACTTACAATTATGACACGGGAACAAGTTACCTGCCAAAAATGTAGAAGCCAACATATGGTTCCCCTGGTCCAGCATTATAGACACGTTGTACAATTTGTCCAGGAGATTGCTTTTGTAACATGCCCATGAGGAAGTTTCCAAACACAGGAACTGGTTTTGGGGTCACAACACCTCTACTCTTCCAGTAGCTGAACTTACTGACATAGTAGAGATAGATTGTTACCAGTACAGAAACTAGCAGAAGTACAATTTCCCAAATTGCATAATCCGTAAGTGCTTCCATGGTGAACCTGGATGCAAGGAACACACATTCCAAGTTATCGGGGCCATGCACAGTTAATATCAACAAATGTAGAACTATAAGTTTTCAGTCTATTTGTTAGAGTCATTTTTGTTGCTGTTTCACACTTTTCTGAAACATATGAAACTTTATTTCAATAACCTGGGAAGAATGGGAACAGTGGTCATGAAAACCTTAGACTGATTATTTCAAGATATATAAAACTAGTAGTCAGACAGAATGTAACGTACCTTATTAAAATAATGACTATATTATCATTTTCATTTTAAATGCAAATTTATTTACATTTAATCATTTACTCAAAATAAAAACTAAAGGTTAAAAATTAAAAATTAAAATTAAAAATTGCTGCATGTTTCAGCCATAAGAATAATATACTTGTAAAGGAACAATTTGGTTTTAGAGAAAAGTTATCTACCGAAATGGCAACATACACACTTCTAAACAACATACTGTCATCTTTAGATAAAAAAAATTATGTAGGCGGACTATTCTGCGACTTGCAAAAGGCCTTCGACTGTGTTAATCATAACATACTTTTGGCAAAAATGGAATTTTATGGGATCTCAGGCATAGTAATTAAATTAATGAGATCATATTTAGAAAACAGACATCAGAGAGTATCAGTGAAAGATATTAAGCTTAATAAAGTATCTTCCAAATGGGAGCCTGTCAAACATGGAGTTCCACAGGGCTCTATATTGGGTCCATTACTATTTCTCATTTACATAAATGATTTTCCACTAACCATAAACAAAATGGCTAATCCAATATTATTTGCAGATGATACCAGCATCATTATATCAAGCACTAATCCTGAGGAATTTAAAAGTAATGTCAGTTCAGTCTTGAATGAGACAATTAATTGGTTCAATAGCAACTTTTTAACACTGAATTGTGAAAAATCACACTTCTTGCAATTCTTATTAAAAAAACATAAAGAAATAAAAATGCAAATAATATCTTCTAACTCAGTGATTACCAATATTAATTGTACTAAATTCCTGGGTTTAAATGTTGATAGTA